TGAAATCCAAAAGCTGTTGATTTGGAAACTTTTCAATCAGAAATTTTTAATTAAAATGAAACATTTCAACATTCCTGAATGAAAGCATTTCAATTTGGTTTACACATCTGTGCTCTTTGAAATGGGACTAGCTGTAAGCAAATTAAGAAACTATTAACACGTGTCAGCAGGGTGCACGAGGACAGTTTGCCTGCGGCAGACTAGCATGAGGTAGATTCACACCCTGCCTTGCTCAGTGTAATTGCTTGTGGAGACAAACCCTAAATTTCTCAGGAGGAGGGGAAATGGTGCACAAGGTCCCAAATTAATTTATGGAAGAAGATAACTTAAGAAAATAAATTGGGATAGGATGAGAAACACAAAGGATATAAAAGGACTTTGTGCTTGTTTTCTTTAGTCTTCATAACAACAAACCTCACAACTTTCACATGCAGAAAAAGTTTGCTTCAGCTTGTATTTTGCTCAAAGCATGTTTCAAAAGTTGTGTTATGCAGGGAATCTAATATTTCAAAATGCATCCAAGTTAAACATATTGATCTAAAAGGAGAGTGTCCTTTAATCATAAGCTTGCTAGCTTACTCAGTATGGCACTCTTCAAGAGTAGAAGTGCTTGTTTTTACCAGTTTATCAAATATTGATTTCAAGATGAGGATTTCTCTATAGGAAATACAAGATGAGCGAGGACTACTAATGCCACTTGTCTTTACACCACTCAAAACTTTCCATGTTGTAACTCTTCAAAGACTAGTCGAATTATCAATACATGTTTCTTTGATAAAAGTTGTTTTTAACACCTACTTTTGACATCTCCTTCTTAATTGTAGCCTCCTGGGAAGAAAGAAGGACTTTCTTTGAGCAGATGCACATGATACTCCAGAGGACTGGTTGGTGGAGAAGCTATAGCTTCATGAGATCAGACAACAGGTGTGTTGCAAATTGTGTAGGCTTATTATATTGGTCATAGGAATTCTCTATGAATGCTTGAGCACTGTGGGATCATCAAGAAGATATGAATTGTGTAGCTTCATCAGTTCATTTATAAAAACTCGGTATAAGAACTGTAGTTTCATAGGATCAAGTTAGTAGCCATGCCCTGATTTAGTTTAACTTTGTCAGTTCTAAGAATTCTTTGAATATGGCAGCTCCATGAGGACACAATATAGGGCCTTATCCTGTAAGCTGCTGAGCACTATCAACTCCCATTAACTGTAGTGGGAGTTGGACGATGCATAGCAATTTGCAAGAGGATCAGGCCCCTAAGGAATTGCTGGTTACAAAGGACACTTGAATTAACAACATCTCTAAATTTAATTTGCAACGTTACCTGGCGTCGTTATCACTATATCATTATAACCCTATTTCTCCTTTGTTGTTGTGGTGTGTGTGTGTATATATAACTTCAGTACCTGAAAAGATAATGGAGCAAAAAATCAAACAATTAATTTGTAAGTACCTAGAAGAAAATAAGGTGATAAGTAACAGTCAACATGGATTTGTCAAGAATAAATCATGTCAAACCAACCTAATATCCTTCTGTGGCAGGGGTAACGAGCCTTGTGGATGGGGAGAAGCGGTAGATATGATATGTCTCAACTTTAGTAAGTCTTTTTTGATACTGTCTCCTCTGATTGTCTCATAAACAAACCAGAGAAATATAGCCTAGATGAACCTACTATAAGATGGGTGTACAACTGATTGGAAAAACATAGAGTAGTTATCAATGGTTCACAGTCAAGCTGGAAGGGCATATCGAGTGGGGCCCTGCTGAGAATGGTCCTCGGCCCGATTCTGTTCAATGTCTTCATCAATTATTTGGATAATGTCATAGGGAGTATACTTATAAAGTTTGCAGGCGATACCAAGCTGGAAGGGGTTGCTTTGGAGGACAGAATTAGAATTCAGAATGATCTTGACAAACTGGAGAAATGTTCTAAATAAATAGGATGAAATTCAATAAGGACAAATGCAGAGTACTGCACTTAGGAAGGAATAATCAATTGCAAAAATACAAGATGAGAAATGGGAGTTATAGTGGATCACAAACTAAATATGACAGATTTCAGAGTAGCAGCCATGTTAGTCTGTATCCGCAAAAAGAACAGGAGTACCTGTGGCACCTTAGAGACTAACAAATTTATTTGAGCATAAGCTTTCGTGGGCTACAACCCATTTCATCGATGCATGTAGTGGAAAATACAGTAGGAAGATATATATACACCCAGAGAACATGAAACAATGGGTGTTACCATACACACTATAAGGAGAGTGATCAGTTAAGGTGAGCTATTATCAGCAGGAGAGAAAAAGAACTGTTTGTAGTGGTAATAAAAATGGCCCATTTCCAGCAATTGACAAGGAGATGTGAGGAACCGTAGAGGGGAAAAATAAGCATGGGGAAATACCACTACAAACAGTTCTTTTTCTCTCCTGCTGATAATAGCTCACCTTAACTGATCACTCTCCTTATAGTGTGTATGGTAACACCCATTGTTTCATGTTCTCTGGGTGTATATATATCTTCCTATTGTATTTTCCACTACATGCATCCGATGAAGTGGGCTGTAGCCCATGAAAGCTTATGCTCAAATACATTTGTTAGTCTCTAAACTAAATATGAGTCATCAATGCAATGCTATTGGGGGGGGGGGGAAGCAAACCTCATTCTCGGATGCATTAGCAGGAGGGTTGTAAGCAAGACATGAGAAGTAATTCTTCCACTCTACTTAGCACTAATAAAGACTCAATTGGAGTATTGTGTCCAGTTCTGGGTATCACACTTGGGGAAGGATGTGGACAAATTGGAGTAAATCCAGAGAAGAGCAACAAAAATTATTAAAGATCTAGAAAACATCATCTACGAGGAAAGATTGAAAAAATTGGGGTTTTTTAAGTCTGAAGAAGGAAAAACTGAGGGATACATAAGTCTTCGAGTATGTAAAAGGTTGTTTTTAAAGAGGAGGGTGATAAATTGTTCTCCTTAACCACTGAGGACAGGACAATATTTGATCGCCATATTTGGGGTCGGGAAGGAATTTTTCTCCAGGGTAGATTGGCAGAAGCCCTGGAGGTTTTTTGCCTTACTCCGCAGCATGGGGCGGGGGTTGCTAGCTGGAGGATTCTCTGCGACTTGAAGTCTTTAAATCACAGGATTTGGGGACTTCAACAGCTGAGTCAAGGGAAAGGGGGTGGGTCAGCTTTTGTGGCTTGCATCATGCGGGAGGTCAGACTAGATGATCATACTGGTCCCTTCTGACCTTAAAGTCTATGAGTCTGAGACAAGAAGTAATGGGCTTAAATTGCTGCAAGGGAGATTTAGGTTAGACATTAGGGAAAACTGTAAGGGTAGTTAAGCACTGGAACAAATTGCCTAGGTGGGTTGTGGAATCTCCATCATTGGAGGTTTTTAAGAACAGATTAGATAAACACCTGTCAGGGATGGTCTAGCATGGGAGTCTCACAACCAAATTTTGGGTGGCCTCAGAATGTGGCTGCCAACTCTTGCTGGTGGCCGCTCTGACAATTTTTCCTAAAATACTTAATTAACTTTGGGAAAAACAAACAAATATTCACATATACATGTCCAAATCATTGCAATTTATTTATGTAGTAAGAATGTGTTAGGAAGTAGAGCTCCCCATTCAGTGCACCCAAACTTTGCTTCTATTTTTGTGCTCGTAGCATGTCACGGAGTGGAAGCCCCTGACCCTGCCGGGGAGCTGCCAAGCCTGCGGCAGTCTGGAGCCATTGAGTTGCTGGGGTAGCTACAGAAACTGTAAACCATGAGTGCGGCCCCAGGCGGGGGAATTGCCAACCCATCTCTCTATCCCTGCCTCCTTCAGCGAGAGTCCAGCATGGGGAAGGTTGGTCAGGAACTCACTGGCCACCTGTGGAGTCCCAGGTTCCCTTTGCCCTGGCTGGGTGGGAGAGGAAGAGCTGCCCAGGGGATTGCCCTCATGACTGAATGCCGCAGCTGCTTCCACTGATGAGAGCCGCCTCTGTCACCATGAACTCTGGTGCCATGTGTCTTCAGAGGTACTGCCCAGAATCTCTGAGGAGGCTGCGTGGTACAGGGCTCTAATCCATGCTGGTGGTGCCAGTGCGAACACCAAGCTGATACATCTTGCTGCCCTTCTTAACAGCTAGTCAGGTGCAACAGCTGGCCGCTGCATGGAGGGGCCACTGCTTTGCTGCCTCCAATCTCCTCCCATGGTTTGGCTGCAAAATGATCCACTGGTGGCCACATTTGAGAAACGCTAGATAATACTTAGCCCTGCCTCAGTGCAGGTGACTGGAGTAGATGACCTCTCAAGGTCCCTTCCAGTCTTTCTTTTCTGTAATTCTATTTCATTTTTCTCTGTGAAAAATGTCTAGGAGACCTTGGCCCAGAATAAGCTGCTCATTATCATTTTGAACTCTACAGAGACACAGCATGTTAAGTATTTGGCAATTTTGCTATTTTTTGTGTTTGTTTATTTAACATGCTTTGTTTTGGTGCATGGCCCTGAGAAGCACAACACTATTTTTTCCCCATGGCTTAAATGTATTGACAAAAGGCTCAGATATATTGATGCTGTGGTATCAAGACTACATTCAGCTGTCAATGGAAGTTCCTAAGGGATGAATCTTCTGTGCTGGAGGCTGGAAATCAGAAAATAAAATCCTAGCTGCCGTAGTAGACTGGGTTCAAGCAACAGTACTTGTGGCAAATAATAAGTGTGTTCAAATAACACACAAGATGGATGGTTCGCCAGAGCAAATGTGAAAGAATTATACATTTGGAGGAACAATCTGTGCAATCTGAGAGTAGATAGAGAAACTCGACAAGCAGTTGCTTTTCCTTCTAGACTCATTTTGTACTCCAGTCTTTTGAAGAGCTACATACCACACAAATTACTTTGTTACAGGATGGACATGTGGCATGCTTCTAGCTATATTGCTAGAAAATATTGCATTCAGTTACATATATAGTATTTATACAAGTGCAACTGAGTGTGTACAAATAGGGTTTGTGGAGAGAGAGAGAGCATACCAAATAATTTATTTTATAAGAATATATATTGAATTCTACATGGGTTTAAAATATTTTCATAGGTAAGATTAAAATATATTTCTAGATCAACAGTAAAATTGCTGCTGATTTTTAAAGAAATGAAAAGAGCAAAGTGCAGTTATGGAAAGAGAAGTGTCTTTATAAATGCCATCCTGGCATTCTGTGTTTATTTTCGATCAGTTGCTTTCATATCACATTTGTTCAATGTACAAGTCAACATAATTTTTTCTAAGTGCCTTCACTGCAGCTCTACCTAGTTTCTGAAAATCAAGCTTAGTTGTTTATGCCTTGCACTTTACTTCATCACCAACCATCAGCAAAATATACACATTCTGGAATTGGAATAAAGCCACCAATGTTGGTGACATTGCACGAGGTGGTATATACTACATCTTACCATTCCACACCCGTTCTGGTTCTTCTGTGCTGACAAAAAATAAAAACTTTAGTTTGTTAGCAAGCTGCACGGGTATGACTCACCAGACAAAGGCCAATCTCCTATTGATTCATGTGCCTAACTACCATTAACATTAATGAGGGTTATGGATATTTATTGATGAGAGAACAGGCACTTTAGGAAGCAGATAAGTGTAAGTAATAAGTTGACATTTTTATAGAGGCACTTTTTCTGGTTGTAACAACCAAGTAATTGAAGTTTTAGACTCCCCGAAAATAAAAACCAAATAATGTGTTTGTATTAATAGCTGGTAAAATCTAGTGAGGAACATTCAGTCAGTTATTCACAGAGATTGTCAGTATTTCTGTTTGGGAAAACAAGGTGCCACCATCTCTCCGATGAGTGGTTGTCAGGCTTACGCTTAATAAAACATCTCTTGACCCCAATTCTCTCACTAATCATCTCCCAGCTTTCATC